TATATGTTCTCATGAAACAAATTGTCAATAAAAATTTTAAAAACATGCAAAAATAAAAAATAAAAAAAATAAAAATTTAAAAAAGGGAGAAAAAGGCTCCCCTTCAATAGTTAAAAATAAACTTGACTTTGCTCTGAGGTTGTGTAGGGATTCATGGTTAAAATTTATGTTTCTCCTGGAATTGCTACATACTTTAGTTCTCGAAGGGATGATGATGGAGTATCCCAGCTTGCACAAGTGGCAGTCATTGTAAAAATGATTGAGTTCCTCACTCCAATGCTTAGATCAAATATCATTATCATTGGAGTATTTAACTGGGATTATTAAATGTATTTCAGCAATAAGTAATTACAAATTTTACCTTTTTTTTTAATCAATAATTGTTTGTCATAGAATAATTTATGCATAATTAAGTTGTACACAATTGGAAACTATAAGTACAAAAGAATAGATAAGTACGGATTTTTTTTGAGGTATTGGTTGGTACTTGGTAGGTCCTTTTTACGAGAACGTGGCGTGGATAAAAGCAACTAAGATAGATTTGTTTTGGATTTGTTTTATATTTATCTTAATTTTGGTTATTTAGTAGGAAGATATTTTAGGAGGTCTATAATGAGAGTTGGTAAATTGAAGGAGGCTCATCCCCTATAGGGAGGAGAGATACTGGAAAATTTATAGGTTATGGAAAGGAAAAGTTCCATTTGTTTTTTGTAAAGTGGTATGGGTAGACGTTGAGTCAATAGTATTTTGTTTGTCTTCTTCTTTCAGCGGTTATTTTTAGGGTTGTGAAAGCAAACTCTTTTAAAATGAGCATTGTAAACAGGGTGATTGAATTTTTATGATTGAAAAAAGTGATATTTGAGATCATGTAAAATGAGAGAAAGACGTTTGTGGGTGTTTTTTCTTCTCTTTTGCTTATAGGCCCATGCCGAAATACTCGTATCCGCGTGGCTTGTTCTTTTTTATTGTAATTTCTTTTACAATTTTATTGGGAAAATATCTCCATAGACCCCATTTTCAACTTTCATTTCTTCCTAAACACAAAATTTCAAAGTCTATCTTCTAACCCTCCAAATAACTTTATCTATTTTTATTCCAACGTTTAATCCAAACAAATTAAAAACGACATCTTTTTCTAACTCTCTCTCTCCTCACGTGTTTCAATCTCTCTAGACTGTTCTTTCCAGTGTTTGAAAAACCGGCCGGTTAGAATCGGAACCGGCCAATTAGATCGGAACCGTCATGGTTCCGACTCCGGTTAGGGTTGAACAGGCCGGTTTGGGTTGAACCGGCCATAATTATGTCTAACCGGCCTGTTTGATTTAACTAGACCGGTTTTCGGTTAACACTGCGTTTTTGGGCAAACAACGGGCAAAACGAAATAACGACCGTTTTTTGAAATAGAGCTCGTTATTTGCAGCAAGATCTGTGAATCAATTTTTCTTGCTTTTTTTATTCGATTTTCTTGCTATTTTTTGACTTTTTTTAATGCTTTAGTGCTGTAAACCATTATTTATTGTCTATACAGCAACAAAATTCGAATCAAATATAAAAAAAAATAGTTCTTGTGGATTGAAGTGGCGGATTTTCTACTCTACCATTTCATCAATTTCTTCTTCAATAGGTAATGATTATTGATTAAATTGAGGTTTTTGAAACATAATAGAATTTTTTACCATACACATGTTTCAATTTGTTAAAAAAACAATATATATGGTGTTGAATTTGGCCCGAAACTTTGCCCGAAGAACCTGTGTTCAAGCTGCTCGAAGAACCCTAATTGGATACGCCATTTCGTTAATTTCATCTTTAATAGGTAACTATTATTGATGAAGTTTGAGGGTTTTGAATCATAATTTAATTGGTTACCATATCCCTATTTCAATTTGTTCAAAAAACAAGATATAGGGTTTGATTTTGGCCCGAAAATTTGCTCGAAGAACCTGTGTTCAAGCTGCTCAAAGAACCCTAATTCGATCTGCCATTTCCTTAATTTTATCTTTAATAGGTAACGATTTTTGATGAAATCTGAGGGTCTTGAATTATAATTGAATTGATTACCATATCCATATTTTAATTTATTCAAAAAATCAAGGTATTTGGGGTTGATTTGGGCCTCAAAATTTGCTACACGAAGAACTTGTCTTCAATCCAAAACAACTGATTTTTTATCAATTAATTGGTATTTTTTATCAAATTTATTTATGGAGTTTGATCACCAATGCTTCATCTGTCATATAAAATAGGTATGTTGATTTATAATTGAGAAAAAAAATTTATATGAGTTTATTTCTTGCTTGATGTCATGAAAGTTTCATAGGTCTAAATTTTCTGCAATTTTTTAAACTAAATAAAAAATACCAAATCTTTTTTTTATAAGATTTGGTGCATTTTGAAAGATGATGGAAGCATTTCCAAAGCTTTTTGTATTGATTTGTTCGATTTTTCGAACATTGATGATCGTTTTTGCTTGAAATGTTGCTCGATTTTAGGGGTTTTTTAGAAAACGATTTAAAAAAAAATAATTTTACTTAATATTATTAAACAATAAACTTTTTTTTTATGATGAATATGGGAAGTGTTTCTCTATTTTGTTTACTAAAATCATATTTTTTGATAAAATTATGTTTTTATGATAAAAATATTTTTGTTTTATGAATATGACCAAAAATCGATTCTTCTTTTTTTAAATGTTATAGTTTTTATAACAAACAAAAAAGTAAGTGCATTATAATGTAGGTCTTAGTGCATTATAATGTAGGTCTTACTTTTGCTTCTTCTTTTTTTTGTTCGATTTGTTTTTTTAAGTGTATGATATAATTATCTTTGTAATAAGTAAAATAGGATTATAATTGTAATTATTGTAATAATGGAATTGAAATTGTAATTGTGTAATGGAAATGGGTTTATAATTGTATTGGCAGAGGCATTCACAATTTTAAAATTTTTTATTATCAAAAAAATTTGATCTTGCTTTTAAATAACAGTCGTGGATTTTGAAATTTACTTAGATCAATAATGCTAAGTTCTTTCTTACTATTTTCTTTTTAGTTAGTGTTTTTATTGATTTAATAGCATCAAGCTAGTTTTGTTATTTGCAAAAAAGTGCATAAACATTCATTCCTAATGTGAGCGATTTTTGTACAAAAGAAACTAGAAAGTGTATCATGTAAGGTTTGGTATGAATATATTAATTCTTGAAAGAAGATGTTACATGAGAAAAATATCTTCAATTAATATCCTAATCTAGAAAACAAAAAGATCTATGTGAGCTGTTTGGGATCATGCACAGGACCATAGTATTCAAATATTAATTCATAAAATGTTGTTTCAATTTTTATTGTAAGATAAATGTATGCAATAAGATATTGTACATTTAAACTAAGTTTTTATATTTTTTTTATTTTTTTGGGGGTTTTTGATCCATTTTAAATAAAAAAAATTTACTTGATCGGTTAATCCAGTTAATCGCTCCCGTTAGTCCATTTCAGGTTCAAGCCGCTCCCAACCCCATATCTGATTAACCGTTCCGGTTCGATTTTGCGAACACTGGTTCTTCCTCCCTCCATTTCTGCAACCCATTTAAGCTCGACAACATGTATGGCTCGGCATGGTCCTCTAAGAATGAGAGGCGCTTCATTTCAGCTATTTGGTCATATACACCTCGGTTAAAAACATCAGCCACGGTTTTCGAGATTAAGAGAATGAGCCTCAAAAGGGGGAGCATGTAGAGGTTGTTTGTAAGCTCCAAAAGGATTACACAGACAAAGACAGTCATGCGCATGGTGCCTCCAAGGAAGGAAGTGGCTCCCAAGGGAACAAAAAGACGAGGGTCGAGGTCAGGAAGTGAGGAAGAGGGATGCGAGGCCATTTGTAAGGCCAGGAGGGTAGTTGAAGCTCTTGACAATTGGACATGGCTCCTTTAGGCTTTCGGGTGCAGCTGGCGAGCCAAGAAAGGCCATGAGCGCAGCATGAGGTGAGGTGAGGTGAGGTGAGGAGAGAAATGGCACATGTTAGAAGTATCTTCAACACCGGGCCCTTCTCATTCATTATGCTGTATGCTCGAAGGAGCTTGTCCAAAAGACGATTGCCGGAAAACGCGACGAAGAAGAAGAGGCCTGTGCCGGCAAATTGGGCTTTAGCCTGAAAACCCCAAATTTTGGGTGGTAAATTTTGAGAGGGTTGAGAGAGGGAGAGCGGTTTGGGAGGTTGATTGGGGGGAGAGTAAAAACGGGAATCATGTCTAGAGAGAGGAGTTAAGAAAATAATGTTTTTTTAAAACTAGTTTGGACAAAAAAAATAGTAATAAATAAATGAAATATGTTTAAAGAGTTAAAAAATATAATAAAGTAAATTTTTATATAGTAAGATAGGTTTTGTGTCAATGAAGAAATGAGAGTTGAAAATGAAACCTATAAAGATATTTTTTTATTTTTTTTTTCTCTATTAAACCGTGGTTGTTTTTTTCGACGTGTAATCACCACTAATTTTATCCTGCATCACTTTCTCCCCTTATCTCTCAACTTGGTCTCTATCTCTCTCTAAATCTAGTATTCTATTTTTTCATTTTCTTATATTATTTTTTTTACTAATTTTTTTTTCAGGTTTTGTTATATGGATTCAAAGATTAAGTTTCTTCTTTTGGTAATAGTTCCATGTAATATTTTACTTTTTAGTATTTTGTGTTTATTATGATCTATATTGCGTATTTCTTTTTTTAGAAAAACTTTACGAGTTGTACTCGTTCATGCAAAGATTATAATTATTAATAATTATAAGAATGTTACATCCTATATTATTATTTAAAGATAATGTTTTTTAACTTTTTTTTATAGATTTTAAAAGTGAAATAAATAATATTGTCAGGTATAAGACTTCTCAGTAAACGAACTTTAAAAAAAAAACAAATTATGAATTTCTGTGTTCATTAATTTCGTTTATAACCAATCTTTTAAAAGTTCATTTAATTTCATTAAAATAAGTTATCCACGTGCGAAGAAGGGATATTAGCTTGCCCTCGACTGCCCTAACCACAGGGCAGAGACCATCTCGAGCCTTCTCTTTGCGCCTACGAAAGGTATATCTCAGTTTTTTCTCTCTCTCGTTTTTTTCTCTCCCCTGAGTTTTTTCTCTCTCTGGTTTTTTCTCTATCCCATGGGTTTTTTTGCTCTCTGATTTTTTCTCTAGGTTCCAAACATGGTGAAAATGGACCTAGGGTTTTTTCTGAATATTGTTCTGTGGTAAATTGTTCTCTATAGGGAAAAAATAATTTGGTTGTTTTTCTCTGTAAAAACCTTGCCCCTCATCCCTCCCTTGAAGCCTTCATCTCTCCACTCCAGCTAAATTTCACAGTTCTCTCATTTTCCAATTCTTGTTTTTATCTAGTTTTTTCTATTACAATCATAACCATTTGGTGTCCCCCTTTTTTTTTGTGACTGCTATCATCTGAAAATGAGATAATCAATGAGATTGCTTAAATTTGATTCATGGTTAGCTTATTTTTTTCTTCATTGGTAGTTCTTTTGTTGGTCATGAAGAAAAGAAAGAAAGAAAATTGCAGTATTGCTTTCCTTTTTGCCATAGGTTTAGATTAAGCTTACTTTTTATTTTTCAATATCAAGCATAGGGTTTTATCTGACCATTGAGAATGTAATTATAGAATCAGCGAACAAAAAAAAAAAACAACTTGTTATAGATTTACTGCAATTTTTTACAAATAACAACATTTCTCAAGGAAATCAGCAGGAAATTTGTTGAGTTTGTTGTGGATTTTTTTCAGGAAATGGTTGAAGAATCCAATATTCAATTTAATTGATCCTGACAATTTGATGTATAGAATAGTTTTCCTAGGCAAAACAGAACAAATCATTGCCATGAAGTTTGAATGAGAGAAAATTGATTATCTTTGATGATTGAGGTGAATTTTAGTTATGATTGTGATTGGGGTAATTCTGAAATATTTAAAGGTTTATTGCTTCTAAAGTTTGTATGACTCTTTCATGTGACTGAACTATCCAAAAAGAATGTCAATGTTGCTCACCATTATAATGTCATCTGCTCCCTATTATACAGTTTATAGTATGTTATCAGTTGAAAACTGGCCCTTCATATCTATTGGACTTGTTTCCTCACGAATGAATATGTCGATAGTAACATAGCTTTTGATGTTTGATGCTCTCTTTTGGTCTTTTCTAATGATAATATGGTTATTCTGTCTGTGTGTAGACTATAGAGTAAAGCCTGTTATGTAACTGATCAAAGAGTATTTTGTCTGTGTGTGTAGACTACATCGTTATTTTGTCTGTGCGTGTAGACTACAGTGTAAGGCCTGTTATGTAACTTAGAACTTCCTTATATTCCAGCAGATTATCAAAGACAAAGACCCATAACTTCTTTAACGTTCCAACAGGTTATTAAACACATAAACCCATGACTTCTTTAACATTCCAGCAGGTTATCAAACACAGAAACCAGAACTTCTTACAATAACTTCTTTCTTCTCAGTAAAAAAGAACTTCCAATTTCCAGGGAACATTTACCTTCCAGTTATCAAACATGTCCTATGGAAGTTGCTTCCTAGAAGCAGGAACTTACTTGTTATTGTAGCTCTTTTGTGTTTGATAAAAGTTGGTAAGTTTAAAATGGGAAGTTCCTAGTAGAACTTACCCCCCTTAAGCTTAAAAAAACTTCCGTCCAAATCAATAGGAAGTTATAGCAAAAGAAAAAGGCGAGCTATTTTATTTTCAGACTTAGTTGAAATGATTATTTGAAGTGGGTTTCTTTGCTATTTCTAGACACTTGATTCTTAGGTTTATAAGCATTCAAGGAATGCATGCATGCCTTCTTCTTTGTGTATCAGAATTTGGGTTTTGGTGTTTTCTCTGTTTAAAATTGTTGGAATACGTGACTTTCCCCTTTTTTGACTTTTGGGGATATCTATCTGAGTACTGCCCATTTTCTTGTACTCATAGCCAGAAAACAACGCAAAAAACTGTGTTCTACAAGTTAAAAAAGTAAAAAAACCCAAAATAACTGATTTTTCCTGCATTGCTAATAGTTGAATTTTTTGGTCAATATATGTAATGGTGACAGCATTTAGGCCATGGTTTACATTTTTTTGCATTTGTTTTTGGTACTCATTGATTTAATTATATCATTTGCATGGTTAATTTGTAGAAGTGGATTCCCTGTATTTCATCCATACGTTTAGAGATGTATAAATTGTGATAAATTTGTGTGTTGAGCATTTCTTTTTCTTTGGGCTGTGTTTTATGAATCAAGAGATCAAATTGTCAACTTTGGGTTATTTGAATATTGTTAAGGAAGAATTGTCAAGCATTTTGGAGGGGATTTGCATAATAGTAACTACCAAGGTTATGAAAGAAACATTGAAATGCGCATCAGGGTTTTCGTGAAGTTGTCTAAGCAAAACTAAATTACTGAAGACCTGGGTCCCTTTTTCAGGTGCAACTGAATCTCTAGATCCATAATCACATATCCAATTTTTTTAATACTAGGATTCGATCTTAGTTTATAAAATGTGCTTCAAATTGTTTGATGCAGTGTCACAGAACTTGGCCGAGTCCACTTGAACTCAGCAGAGTTACTCAGCCTTGCCCCCCGAGTTTTACCCCGAGTTTTATGTACAATACATAAATAAAAAATAAAAATAAAAACAAAAAATAGTAAAAAATGTGGGAGCATTTTATACTGCTTTTAGATATAATTTGGATTTTTTGGCAAAGATTGGTAAGTTTTTTTTTTTGCGACGGTCCCTAATTTTTATATTTCCTTTGTTTGGAATTTTTTAAAATGTCCCCAACTAAAAATCAATTTCTTTTAAATCCTTTCTTTCTTATACTTTTGTTTAGCTTATTTCAACTTTTTAAGGTTGTTTGTTTTATTTTATTTTTGCTACCTTTATTTTATTTTTTCGTTTTTTTTTTTGACATTAATTGTTAGTAGTGGGTTAGCAATTTTGAAACCATTAGTACTTTTTGAAAGGGGTTAATATTGTTAGGAATGGAAACCTAGACTAATAGCTTAGTCGCCGGTTGTGCTACCACCTTGACCACTTTCTAGAGCGTTTGTTCCTATACAGTGCTTGCCCTAGGGCTGACTACCTGGCCCAAGGCGACCTAAACACTGCTTTGATGAATTTCTATGCTCTAACCCCTTTGGGACAGGAGCTGTTTTTATATCTCAATTCATGCACATATGACAACAAATGAAAAGATGATGACTACAAAGTTTTTGAGAAGCTTGATTTGTAGAAACTGGTTCAGGAGCACAATTAAGAAGTCAATGTGCTTATGAAGCATAAACTACTTCCAACTTTTTTTACAAACAAGAACAAGATTTTTTATCCAATTTTTGCTATTTCTCAAAAGATGAGCATGACAAATTGTGGTACTTCTTGATGGTTGAGTGGTGTAGTACCCTTAGCATTATTAGTTGGTTCTTTGTTTTTTTTTTTTTTGACAATCTACTTTTATATGGGTGATGAGAATTTTTTTAATATAGTGTTCGATGACTTGATTTAAAATCTGTTGCTTTCTGAAGTTCATAGGATCACTGTGTACTTGACATTATATGATCTTATTTGCTTGAGGTGATTGCTGCCCATGGTAGACATGATTTTTGTCTTAATAATTCGCTATGATTGATATGATTTAAATATGGATACCATCCATTTGCAATGTAATTATACACCATTTAATCAATTATTGTATTCATGTTTTTCATTAGGAGCTTCTCTTTCAAGTCCATGTTTTCTGAATTATAGCATATAAAAATTTGTAAAATTTAATTACCCTTGGTCGTGGGTCACCTTCACCCAATGTTACATGGATTCTTTGACAAGGATCCCATAACGATGTCAGAGACCTATGGACACGTGTACGGTACCAATTCTCCTGGATTCGCAACCGGATTGATTTCGGGAAATGGGAGATTATGGCAGGACGTTACACCAAAGACCCAATGGTATGGTGGGCAAAAACCATAGGGTTCCAATTTTGGTGTAGAATCAAAAGCATCTATGATCTATCATATGATATGTGTAATTTTTTATTTTTTTTAACTTTAGAAAAGTGGTGCATCATGTTTTATACTGACATTTCTTATCTTTTATGATATCATGAATGGAATATTATGAATTATTTGCTAGGCTTTGCAAGTATCTATCGTCACTATTATATATATATAAAAATATATACAACAAGACCATTTACTTTTGATACAAGGAGGTCACAATTATCATTGACCATTAGTTTTGAGATCGAGTGGTTGAGGATGTGTTCAGGTTTTGGCACAAAGTCCAAAACAAAATTTATTGAATGTTGGGACGCAATTTCATTTATTGCTTTTTACATCCAATGGTCAAAAGTGATTGTGACATTGTAGAAAAAATAATGGTCTCTTAATATACAATCCCTAGCTATATATATATATATATATATATATATATATATATATATA